GTAAAACATGATTTGTTCTGCAAACAACAGTTAAATGCCTATATGTACGCAATTGGACGACAGAAACAAATCGTTTCGTGCATAAATAAAATTATCTACAGAAAACAGAAAGCGAAATTACTTGAGACCGTCACTTTTCAAACGAAGAACATTTTAAAATTGCAAAATAATTGCAACCAATTGAGCAGTATTTCTCTTAAAATGTTTGATCAAAATTTATTTAGTTGCAGTTAATAACAGAAGTAACTTTGATCAGGTCTCGCACATATTCTTCAATGATATTTCCCATGGAAACATTGCTTAGACATCCAGAACACTCATACATTAGAGCCACGGTTGTTAGATGCCAGTCATTGCAATGTATTGTAATTTACCTATAACTGACTGTAACCGGAAGCGACTGACTGTAACCGGAAGTGACTAGCATTTTCCACCAGTATAGAAACAGTCTATCCTACACATTAATGCTCTGTTAATACTTCGTCAATACTTTTAACGGACTGTTCAAAAATATACACATAGCCTTGCTGTTGCAGGTGACATGGGTTGGGAATTTGTGATGTAGATTTTCAAAAATGTCTAACAGATAAATTAATGAACTGGTATTCAATCATTGTAAACATATAACAATACTGGTATGCACAGTAAAAACTGCCTTTTTACAGTAAATGATTTGTTGTAGTGAATATATTGATGTAGAAAATGTACATTTATATAAGCAGACACGCTTTAATTAGACAGTCCTATGATAGAATATGTACATTGTGTACAGATCTGGAGTAGAAAATGAAGTTCATGTTCTTTTTAAATGTCCACAATATGAAGATATCAGAAAACGTTTCTTCGACAAAGCAATGTATATTAACAATGGTTTTCTTATGTTGAATGACGTTTACTAGCAATTAGATTTACTTTCCAACAGTAATATTGTTAAGGAAATTGCAAAATCCTCCAACCTTATTTTAGAAAAACGTACAAAATGTTTGTATTATAATTAGTGTACTTGATTTGTTTTTTTTTGTTGTTGTTTATTTTTAAATACATAGTTTTAACACTCTTTAAAGCTGATACATTGTAAAAGGACTTTTTTAAGTGATGTCACATTTTTTAAATAATTAAAGATGTAAGCTGTATTAAAGTGATGTCAAACTGTTAGAAATTAAAGCTCTTTCCTAATAGTTAAGTAAAATTTGTCTATCATATAACTATGTGAATTTTATTTAATTTTACTGGCTTTGATTTGATTTTCTTAGCTGTCAGATTATTATTACTAATCTGCTCATCTTTGATGTGATCAAAGTTGATATGAGCCGCGTCATGACAAAACCAACATAATGGGTTTGCGACCAGCATGGATCCAGACCAGCCTGCGCATCCGCGCAGTCTGATCAGGATCCACGCTGTTCGCTTACAGACCCTATAACAAGTAAAGAAACTGCTAGCGAACAGCATGGATCCTGATCAGACTGCGCGGATGCGCTGGCTGGTCTGGATCCATGCTGGTCACAAATGCATTACGTTGGTTTTGTCATGACGCGGCTCATATATGAGTGTGTAAGATATCATTTAGTTCTAGGCTTTAACGTTAATATCGGAAGTGTACAGATTATTTTAATGTAGATAAAGTAGATTTTACACTGATTAGTAATGGTAATCTAACTTTTTAACTGTGGGCTGTATATTATAATACTTGTAAAATATTTGTAACAACATGTATTGGATGAGACTTAGCAGTTCCTGTTAAATGTTGAATTCTGCTTAAGCCGGTGCTAGGGGGCGTGGACGGTGGTTTGCACTTGACAGTACCATCCAAGAACAGGCTCAATCAAACCGAGCCTGCAACATTTTCTATTTTGCCGTGTTGGGCTTTCTTTAGGGATTCTTATTTTCTTTATTTTAACTAAACTTTAAGAAATACTACTACGGAAGTGCCTTATAAGTTATAATGTTTTAAATACAGTTATAGTGCTTTGTTTTGTTTTTCACAAAATCTTTGTACAAGGATTCAATAGATGGTTTTAATGATAATAAGTTTGTAGCACTTGACGTAAAGAAGCGTTTAACCAATTATCATGTAAATATGTGAAAAGCGTTGTTTGATAATTAGGCTTTGTGCGACGTAAGTTTTGTAGAGCAGCAATAGTGAATATTAACGTTGCTTAGCAACTTAGCCACAATCCTGCAGAAATTTAAAAAAAAAGAAATCCGCCATAATATCGTTACTTACAAAAATATCACTTTGATACAAGTCGTTTATCATTCAAGAGAAAGCACTCAATTTCGTATAATTTGAACGATATTTCATATATGTACATGTTTTCATAATATTGATAAAAATAAACTTAAAGAAATACTACTACGGAAGTGCCTTATTATGTTTTAAATAAAGTTATAGTTTTTTTGTTTTGTTTTTCACAAAATCTTTGTATAATGATTCAACTGAAGGTTTTAATGATAATAAGTTTGTAGCACTTGACGTAAAGGAGCGTTTAACCAATTAACATGTAAATATATGAAAAGCGTTGTTTGATAATTAGGCTTTGTGCGACATAAGTTTTGTAGAGCAGCAGTAGTGAATATTAACGTTGCTTAGCAACTTAGCGACAATCCTGCAGAAATTAAAAAAAGAAATCCGCCATAATATCGTTACTTACACAAAAAATCACCTTGATACAATTTCGTTTATCATTCAAGACAGATCAATCAATTTCGTATCATTTAAACGATATTTCATATAATTATATGTATTCATAATATTGATGGGACTTAAAAATAAACTTAAAGAAATACTACTACAGAAGTGCCTTATAATGTTTTAAATACAGTTATAGTTTTTTTCTTTTGTTTTTCACGAAAACGTTGTATAATGATTCAACTGAAGGTTTTAATGATAATAAGTTTGTAGCAATTGACGTAAAGGAGCGTTTAACCAATTATCATGTAAATATATGAAAAGTATTGTTTGATAATTAGGCTTTGTGTGACATACGTTTTGTAGGACAGCAGTAGTGAATATAAGCGTTGCATAGCAACTTAGCGACAATCCTGCAGAAATTAAAAAAAAAATCCGCCATAATTCCGTTACTTACACAAACAAGAGCGATCAGAAATCACATGTGTCGCCTCATGATGGCCAATTTCATGTTGGGACAAATTTTGTGACAGACAGACAGACAGACGGACAGTGCACAACTAGACTTGGTACTGATAATTCCTGTAAAGTTTGGATAAAATTGCACCAGTAGTTTATGAGGAGTAGTCCGGACAAGCTTTTGCGTATCTGGCAACACACAGAAAAAAAGACCTTTTTATCAAAGGGCCATAACTCGGCCAAAAATCATTCAACCGGAAAACCCGTGCAATATTCAAAAGGACTTGAGCTACAGATCAATCCTGTAAAGTTTCATTGAAATTGCATTAGTGGTATAAGAGAAGTAGTCCGGACAAACTTTAAAAATAAAAATTATTAAAGGGCCATAACTCTGACAAAAATCATTAAACCGGAAAATGCTGACAATTTGCCCAACTAGACTTGGTACTGATCATTCCTGTAAAGTTTGGATAAAATTGCACCAGTAGTTTATGAGGAGTAGTCCGGACAAGCTTTTGTGTATCTGGCAACGACAGAAAAAAACACCTTTTTGTCAAAGGGCCATAACTCGGCCAAAAATCATTCAACCGGAAAACCCGTGCAATATGCGCAAGGACTTGGGCTACAGATCAATCCTGTCAAGTTTCATTGAAATTGCATTAGTGGTATAAGAGAAGTAGTCCGGACAAACTTTAAAATTAAAAAATATTAAAAGGCCATAACTCTGACAAAAATCACTGAACCGGAAAATGATGACAATATGCACAACTAGACTTGGTACTGATCATTCCTGTAAAGTTTGGATGAAATTGCACCAGTAGTTTATGAGCAGTAGTCCGGACAAGTTTTGTGACGGACGGACGGACAGACAGACAGACAGACGGACAGACAGACAACGGAGAAGTGATCCCTATATGTCGCCACTACTCCGTAGAGGCGACACAAAAATGACTTTGATACAATGTCGTTTATCATTCAAGAGAGATCACTCAATTTCGTATCATTTGGACGGTATTTCATATAATTTTATGTATTCATAATATACTATTGTTCCAATGAAAATACAAATAAGCTGAACGTACAGAAATATAAATGCGACTTTTTTCATATTTCTCATATTTCAGTTAAGAATTCAATATAATTGACTATTATCTACTGTATTGTAGTAAAAAGTAACCAATTACGTATATAATCTTCGTATTGTATTATGATTAAAATCGGTTTAAAGAATGAAATTATAGAAACGAAAAAAGCATTTTATCGAAATAGATGGTGTAGGCCAGGAATGTTAAATCGTGTATTTTATAGTGATACTTAGACAAATTAATGACAGAAATATTAAATTGATATCGATCTAACTTAATACTCAAATCATGCTAAAATGACATTTAAAAATTCTTAGCATGAATTTGAGTATCTGTATAAATACTATATATTGGGCATATCTTAATATGTTGAACGAAATTTAGACGCCTGCAGACAGTAGTTTTAAAAGAAGTCATGTAACTAGAAAAAAACTTACAATAACAGATATTCTGGATATTGTTAGGAGTCATTCTTTTGACAGGTACTTTAACGTTTTCATAGTTCTTTATAACAACTATTGTTAAATCTAAATGCTCTAACCTGATCAACGTGGAAAGCTGGGAAACCGCCATTTTATTTTTTATAAGGAGAAAAGTTTTGTTCCTGTGTCTGCTTAGTATACTCATTTCGATGACATTTTCAATTACAGTTAGACTTTCGTTGTATTGGACCCTACTATCGACTGCTGGCTGGGGCCAGTGTGGTTGGCCATTATTGTTGTTATATATGGACTGGAGCCCACCTGGTCACAACATGTTTGCCTTTTTTCTACAGAAGGAAAACTATTCTTATTAAGGATTAAGAAAATCCATAAGATCATGAAATATTTTCAATTTTTATTAGAGTTCCTTGGTAAAACTTGAACTAAACCGATTACGCATGCGCAATAAGCTAAACGCTTACTATATGATAATTTAATTATTAGGTCATATCATTTTGTTAGTAAAGTCACTTTGAATTAAAGAGCTTAAGCAACTAGATGCTAGTTGAAAAACTAGATAGCTAGATTGTTAAAATCCATATATTACATAATGTAAATGTAATGTTCATTTTACAGTTTATTCATATATTAACAATTACATCATTTATAATTGAAATGGCTTAAATAATACTTAAAAATAATGCATTTCATATGATACATAAAATTAGAAAAACACAACACACCGACAACCATTCTAAGGATACTTTATCTATAAACAAAAACGTAATTGAAACAAAAAACCAGTTTGAAAACGCTAGTTACAAATAACAGCAACAAAACTAAACAGAAAATACAAAACGTTTCTATATACATGACACAACATCCTTGCTTAATGTTAATAGTGATGCATTTCATACATCCGTCAAAAAGGTCACATGACCCGAATAAACTACAAACATCAGTTCCGCTTTCCGCAGAAAGTTTCGTCACTGCTTTCCGCAGAAAGACACCTTTTCTATTCACTCCATACCGAATTTGTCCGGCAAATTCCCATTCCGTGTAAGGCCACATACGGCACAACCAGACAGACATTATCCAGATCTGAATCAAACGTCGATTCAAAACATGTTTCGTTTCTTTCTTTCCTGTCAGTTTTAAGTAACTTGAGGCATAAGTTCTTTGGTTTGCTTAAACAGCGGGTAAACAATCAATAAAAACAACGAAACGAATACAGTGCCTGTAACAAATATCCAGAAAAAGAATCTGTCAATGACTTCCGCTACTTCTATCCATTGTTTTATGTATAACTCAGTTTTGTCTCTTTCATCTTCTCTTGCAATAAGTTCGTCTAGTTTTTGAATAATTAACAGATAATCTTTATTCTCCTCCCGCTGATTGGCTTGCTGCCGTGTCACGTGATTTGAATGATTGTTTGACAAGCCCACGTGCGTATCCCCATTCTCATAATCAATTAAGCAGCCAGAATCACCAGACACAGCAGTACTGATATAATGATATGGTCGCTGTGAACTTTGACCTGGCCCTACACGCCAGTCGTTCCCAGATCGTTTTTGTCTATAATTCAAAAAGACAAGGTCCATACACATTGCTTTTGAAAGACAAGTCAATATCGTTGTCAGCCATCTTGGAACACTTACTTCCTTTTGACCCCTGTGGTTGATGTTTGAGGTCAATACGGCCAGGATTACTGATAATGACGTCATAGACATGACGGTTGTTAAATAAATACCTGGAAAAGATAGCAAAATAAACGTATGCATCTTTCTAAAAAAAACTATAACTGGTAAAATAAACTAGTAAAACTTCAAGAACTATACACTTTTTCGCTTTCTTATGATAATATATTAAAAGAGGAAAACCATTTTAGGTCTACCTCGTCATTACAGTTGTTGAGCACCCGTAAAATATATGTGAATTTCCGCTGATCTAACACAATATGTGAAAGAGAAAATAAGTCAATCATTATGTAAGTTTTCAATTTTATAAACATTTAATAATTAATATGTATTTTTTTAAGAAAATCGAAATGTGATTCTACCCTCCTGTAATTCCTCATATTTATCAATTTTGGTTCCGGATTTTATACAGTCTTTTTTCGAGTTATTCTTCCCGTCGTGGAGACTGGTGTGTGCAATGCGTATGAAGAAAATGTCAGTAAATGGACTCAAAATACAGTTTTAACGAGATCTTTCTCCCGAATGATGCTGAACATTCAAACAAACTCTTACTGAAACATTTATTGAGATTTTGCTCAAAATAACGAATTTGCCGAGTCCGTTTAGTTCTTTACACATATTGCATACTTTGGACACACCAGAACCCACAACGGACAAAATAGCTTGACAGAGCTGCATAAAAAAATATAAGGAAAGTCAGGAGGGTAGAAGCACATTTCGATTTTCATACACGGTCTTTTACAGCACATCTGGAAAATCACCGAAAATTCATATACATTTTTTTAGCCGATGCTCAAGTTTGAGATCCATATATATAGGGTTCACCCGTGTAAATTCTCTTACCGATGAGAGGGACGAAACTTGAAGTTGCCGGCATGTTCTCCGCAACCAGGAGCATGAATACCGAGAAAGCCAGCAAAACTGTCAGGCCGAGCGTCACCTTCTCTCCACTGTCGGGTCTCATCCAAAACCCTGACAACGTTAACGTTGATAACATGACACACGGTATAATAACGTTGTAAGTATAATAAAGAGTTCGACGTCGTATATGAATATAGAACGTGACGTCAGGAAACGGCTCCGGGCAGCAAGGGTAAGTTATGACGTTTCGGATAGCTTCTACTTTGATGAGCTCCCATTCACCATTGCTGACAAACGTTGACAGGTCAACCGGATTATCCCTTGCGTACAGGTCAACCTTCAAGCATAATAACGAAAGCTGATAAAATATATGCGTTAAAAATTAATCTTTCAATTAATGTTCCCCTCCCTCTTGAATTTAGCTTACAATTTTTGCCGTTTTCTTGTCGAATAAAGTATTACAGTTAATCACGACTAAGCAGAGTTTTCTTCCACATTATTCACAGTACAGACATGTGTTAATTCTGCAAACATATACCAACCTATCGACATATTTGTTCATTTGAAAACCCTTTTACCCCTTGTAGCTTAGGGGTTGCCTTTAATGGTTGATGTATAATAATTGCAGCCACCGTTTATCCCTACGTTATCGTAAGAGGCGACTAAATGGGTTCGAACAACTGGAGTCTATGCATATCTTAGCTCCAGTAGGTGAGGTGGTTTTGACCCCTGGTGTTGTTTTAAAGTCTGTAACATCCAGGGTTAGCCAATATCATCTTTCCTGTTTCGGCCCTATGTGACCTATACTGTGATGGTGTTTCGTAAAAAACAAACAAACAAACAAACAAAAACAAACAAACGAAAACACTTTTGTTGAAGAAAAACATGCTCAGGATTCAAACTCATGAAGCCGAGATATGTAAACCTATCGATTAACCTGATATGGTTTAGTGAGCAGTGAAATTGATTTATGACTTTGAAAATAACTTTACGTAAATTGAGCGTATAAGTTGTTTTCGAAAAGTGTTCATAGAAAAAACGTTGTACATCAAAACCAATACGTTCTAGTGTGTCTCTAAAATGATAGAAAAATAAATGTATTATATCATTTTGTAATATCCAATACGCAATTTGGTACGTAGCGCTAAATATTGTATATATTTTTATTTTTCTAAAGCGATACATTTTGTTGTTTCTCGAAATTCGAATTCGAGACAGAATAAATATAAAATGTAAAAACTATTATATGAGATTTCGATTTAAGATTTCCTTTGCATATTACTTTTCACTACAACGCCGTTTATTAAAAGAGGCAAATGTTATACACGTTTGCTTCTTTAAAAAAAATATGCGAGAGGTATTTTTGCAGCTTTAGAAGAATTGTTTTAATTGTCCAAATAGCAGGAAAGTAAGAATTTTTGTTTGGTTGAATTGCATTGGCAAAGAATAGTCGTATTTTAAAGCCGAGCATGCGCATAACAATTTGTGAAGACTGGTTCTAGTTTAAAGGAGACCCATTAGCTTCAATATGATACGCAAAAATGGATGCAACCAGCAATCATTACTAGTACCGTGGAGGAAATTGCTGAGGGAATGAAGGACTTTTTTACGTTTTTCTTTATTATTATTTTGTTGTTGATGATTTTTTTAATCATTAAAAATGTCTGTCATTGTTAATGATCAGTGTTTTTAAGTAAAATCAAATTGAAAATACTGCTTTAAAATAAACATATCTCTAAAAATTAAAAGAAAACAAAAGATCAAAATTGCGGAATCTAAAGCAAACATCCTTCTTTTCAATGACATTCAACTCGTTTTTTTGAAATTTTGATGCAAAATATACATAAAAAATCCATAAACCTCGAAATTTGCTGTTTAACAACTAAATATATGTATAATTATTATATGCATGTACACATTTTAGTTAACGTTGTTGTTGTAGAGACATTTTATAATTTAAAAGTAAAGGATTTTCAATGGCTTTAAACGTTCTTACCTGGAAGCCATCATACGCCCACGAGCCCATTTTAAGCTTGCAGATTTGGTCATCAAATGGGAAATATGTGATATCTATATTGCATGTACTTCGTAATTTCACTATTGGCGGCCAGAACACGTGACCATTCGAGTGGACCATTGCAAGGGCTTGCATATAACCATTGTTGTAGTCATCAGCACTGTAATATAAATATTTGAAATATGTATCAATTGTATTATAGTTTCGGGACCTTTCTGTTGAAAATGTGTCACAGTTAAATTGTATACATATACATGCATAATGCATTAACTGGAGTGTAGGTATTAGCTGCTCGCACTCATGAGCATGCCCACTAATTGGCTCATTTTTTTCTGGAGTTTACTTGTTGTGACGACAGAGAAAGGGATAGCGATACAAATATCATATTCAGATGCCAGTTTATTTGTTACTTATTTCTGGGGTTTGATATTTTGACAACAGGGAACGTGTTTTTATTTTTGCTTATGATATAAAAGAGAAAGAACATTTAAACACTCGGCAATCTGATTTATACTTGGGGGCTACGCCCCTCGTACAAATCAGATAGCCGCGTGCTTCAGTGCTCTTTCTATTGCTAATTACTTGCTATAATGTATCAATTACACCCCTTATTAACGATATGTTGTTCATTTATCTGGGTTTTTTTACGACAAAATCACAATTTGGTAATGCCTAGGCGTTCAGTCCATCTAACCGGCTTTCCTTGATAACTAACCAGTAGTTACCAATTTCTCTGCAAGTGACGGACAACATATCTACAGAGTACCGTTAGGGCCATCGTGATTATACCCTATAATCCAGAGGCCGACAATGCGGCAGTGCAATGGCCACAGTGCGATATCGCGATAATTATAAAATATAAACACTATGAACCTAACGGTATTCCGTATTTATCTAACATGGTTTCTGACTCAGTGTTAAGGGATAAACGGCCATTAGTCTTTCTGACCGAGATAATTTTTTACGGAAAAGTACAAAGGATCAAAGCAGCAACCCCTGTATGGTCAAATGTTTGACGACTGTATTCCAATAGGAGTTTGAACAGGCATTTCAGTGCAACAAAACCACAACAAATCTCATTCATGCATTATTAGTTGCGAAAAACCTTAGGAGATTCCATTATTAGGTGGACACAAGTGGGCACCTGAACATAATCACCGACAGTTTAGTAAGTTAGCTGGAAAACTTCTGTACATAAAATAATCCAAAGTCCTTGGCATGGCACGATTCAAATCTATGAACGTGATTTAAGAAAACACAGCATAACAGAATTTAAAGTCCTCGGCAAGGCAAGATTCGAACCTATACGTGTACGTAATAGAAAATCAACATACCTATTGTAAAGAACAATATCTGGTCTCCAGATATGATTACATGGTATACGAAACACATTAAGGCCGTTATAGTCACCAGGGTCCCACTTAAGCTTCTCGTCGAACCATTCCTGAAAGTATACATGTAAAAAATCCGTTAAAGGAACACGACGCCGCGGAAATGCTTTTGTTATTTCTCTTTTTGTTTTGTTTTTGATGTCATATTAAAGTTTTCAAAATGTTATTCATTGACCGTTTTACCTGTTACTTTTATACATTAAGTATAGTAACAGTGATTTTATATTCAGTATGAAAGTCAATATACTATTTTGTTTACATTTTATCGACTTTTATGACAAATATGTTCAATGTTAAGCAAAACGTTCATATTAGTTTTAAGCAGCTAACATACCCTTAACACAGTATTAAAGAAGTAAAAATGTATATGCTTCTACGGCACAATGTGCCTTGAGAGAAAATTTCAACACCAAGCAATGTGGCAATGTGTATGAATATGTAAATGACTGAATCGCCTGTTGTAAATGTATATAATGCCATTTTAAAATTTCAACACATTCAGTATATTGATTTATCAGAGATGGCAAGTTAAGCTAATTTGCATTTTTTTTATTTCCCGAGATGCACTTTTGTATAATGTTTATAAACGCAAATAAATATTAAAATGAAATACGCTATCCTATACCCTTGAGTCAATTTATCTCCCTTAAATGCGTTATTTTTGAGACTTTTCATGCTGAATCTGCAGATTTTTCCTAGAATGTTTCGATGTATGAAAAATCTTGGGGAAAATCTATCTAAAGTTTTCGTTTTCAGGAATCTTGTTCTGTGTAATTTATCATTAATTGTAAAGATCAATCTTTCATTTTTTGACGTTTAAAATTTCCTGACGTATAATTCAAGTTATTCAAATTTGTCGAAACGTCCGCATCTTGACAGAAATTATATATGATTTGGATCTACTGAAAACATGAGTTGTGGATTATTAAATGAAAAAAGAGATTCATTCATTTGCTTTTTAATTAATGCCGTTATCTTATAAGACAATAATGACGTCACCGGTGAGTGTCAACACATACGAATGTTATGTAATCATATAAAACTCTATTAAATTCACATAGTACAGACATGCTTCTAAAAGCAACATGCGTTCAGATTAATGCTAATTTTCATGAACGTTTTTTAAAATGTTTTTAAAAGTAAATGCACAAATAGCCCTTACAGCGTTAGTCATGCAGTAGAAATATTGAGAAAATTACTATAAAATCAGTCATTTATTACACATTAACATGTTAATCATTACTTAAATCATGATTTTTTTTTACGTTTCTTAAATTCTTAGTATATTTTTCTCAAGTTATATTTTCTTAACATATATCGGCTCATCTGGAAGCATGCAACTTTAAAAGTACATAAGACATATCGCTTTTTCATTTAATTTACAAAAATATAATTAATTCGTTGAATTATTATTTCGTTTAAACCAACGTTATTTAAAAGGAAAAAAGAAGACAAATAGGTACGTATTATGTCACGTACCAGCTTGTACGGACAGAAATAAAGAAATAGAATTTTCTTTGCAATACGCTTCATAATCCTAAATTGCAGCTCAGACTTCTATACACAAAACGTAACGATCTAATGAAGTGACATTTTCACATGAGCTGTCTCACAAATAACACCCTTCGTGTAAAAGATAATCAACTAACTTGGCATTTAAATGGCCAAGCATTAATCTTGCCTTCATACGTGGTCAGTTATTGCCAGTTTTCTTATCCTCTTCAACAAATTCATCGCAAAAAAGTATTAACCTAGCTGTCCAATGTATGACGTTTTGATCATTGAAATAGTTTTGTCTATCTTGAAAAATACATTTTTTGAAGAAAAAAAAACAAAAACAAAAAACGTTATTCCATTATTATAATAAGGTATTCGGGAAAAAGACATGGTATGGGGATTGGTGCATGAGTTTTGGGTTAAGCGGGTCGAAGCACATTTGATTGAGCAGATGGAATCACAAACCTTGGATTCAGGCGATCTTACAACATACCCTGGGTTCAGGAGATCAGACAACAAAAATTCGGTTGAAGATATTGAACCAGAGGCTTTAGGCTGAGGAGGTCGAGCTTCAGACGTCTGTTTGAGGAGATCGAACCACAAACCTTTTGTTCAGTAGTTCACACAAAGACCTTGGCTTAAGGAAGTCGAACCACATAGCTTGGCTTCAGGAGATTTAATTAAAAAACCTTGCAATCAGGTGATCTTACCGCAGATCTTGGATAAAGCCAATCGAACCCAAGACCTTGGAAGGTTGAATCACAGACCTTTAGTTGAAGAAGTCGAACAACGGGACTTGGATTCGAGAGGTGGAAAGAGATTATCGAACCTCATATCTCTGATTCAGATGTTTGTTTGCAAATTATCGAATTGTAGTCTCATTTCTTTCCAAAACATTTTTTTCTGACAGAGATACCTAATGCCACATTTTCATAGTTTTCTTAACGAAATTGCATATACAATATAAATGAGCCGTGTCATGACAAAACCAACATAATGCGTTTGCGACCAGCATGGATCCAGACCAGCCTGCGCATCCGCACAGTCTGATCAGGATCCAAGCTGTTCGCTATCAGTTTCTCTACTTGTAAAAGGGTTGGTAAGCAAACAGCATGGATCCTGATCAGACTGCGCGGATGCGCAGGCTGGTCTGGATCCATGCTGGTCGCAAACACACTATGTTGGTTTTGTCGTGACGCGGCTCAAATGCTTTTAATGAAAATTTATTAGACTAATTCTTTGATCAAATTTAGACCCTGTAAGTGCATAGCATTTTCTAGCACGAGTGGGAGTGGGTACAGACATTTACAGACATGTATGCAGACATTTATGGGCGACATGTTATAAATGATAGTTGAGCTTCTTTTAACACGCTATTTTGAAATAACTTTTCTTGAAAATTGGTTAAAAATTTAGAATAGACAAACATTACATGCAATGGATGCTTTTCAATCATGAAGTATTCTTTGAGGCATTTAACAAATATAAACCCGCACACACAAAACTTTGCCGGTATTTTGCTGATAGCATTTGTCCAGAACAATGCTTATGAAAAATACTTGTATACTCTTTTAGAGCCTAGTGACAGAATGAAGGTATCGTATACGACAAATTATTGATTACGCCGATATATATATGTGTACATATTTCAGCATTTCGCAAACAGCATTAACTTTCAGATATAACAACATAGGTGGGTATAGCCAAGTTTTAAGACGTGGCGAGGCATGGGGCCTGTAAAAGATGTCCAAGGCCCCGCCTCAACTTTATTTTATTTCCTACATGTTCTTACCTGATCAAACCAAATATTCGTTGAAATCACTTGATTCCTTTCATCCTAAAATAAAAAGTAAATCTTGTAAAAAATAAAATTGTTAAATATAAAATATAAAACATGTCTTGTAAGCACGTGAACAACATGCTAATGTTACCAAATTTTTTCTTGCAGGACCAACACTGCGCGTTTGTAACGTTCATTTTGATTGGTTAACGTATGAAACATATAAATATATACAATATTACTGAAAATGCATTAAATTAGTTTCATTAAAAGAAAATGAGTGCATAGTTTATCTAATTGTAATTAAGACTTTTGGCAGGTTAAATGGCCGTGTAGATACGATTGTTTGCCATATAACCATCTCTTAGCGACTCAGGTTATATAAACTTAAACCATTTATACAAAGTTATAACACTTACCAAATTCTTTTAAAAATCTCTAAATTACTAATAATAAAATGTACACTTGTGGGAAAAATACACCACCATATCTCGCAAAAAATCACCTTAAAACGTAGTAAGAAATTTCATGTAAGTTGCTATTTAAAAAAAACAACAACAAAACAAAAAAATATTACTTGGTGACTATAATTATTTTGTTTACGTTATATCACTTTAGTTGACGTCATTGTCCGGATGTACTTTTGTAAAGATAAGTCCTTCATTTGCGTATCGTGACATTTGAAAAGTGCTTATGTCACGGACATGACTTATGTCACGGATATGACTAAGTGTATATATGTTTGATTGAAACACGACATCACTATGCTCAGTTGTTTGACAAAGAATGTCAATAGCTGACAAAATACACACACATCATTTAAAATCCCAGACTCAGCTTCAAGAACAATTATGGAATGTGCAGAGTATTTAAGGCCCCCTACACCGGCTTATGCTTTATTCAATACTCAGTACTCAATAAACGGTATATTTACCACATCAAATATTTGTGTAAGCGTTATCCCGATAGAAACATTGACTGGGTGTGCGGCATTGTAGACTGGTCTGGTGTTGTGATCATAATTGGTCATCAGGTATTTAAAAAGTCTTTGCTCATCCGTTGGTTCTTTCTGCGTCTTGGTTTTGTTGTTCCGCCCAGCTGGAAAATAAAAAAAAATGATATGGTTTGTTGGCTTTGTTTGGTTTTACGGCGCGCACACACAATTTAGCTCATATGTCGCTGAAACAGGAAAGATGATTTTAGCTAACCTCATGTGTCACGAACTCAAGCAACACCAGGGATCAAAACCACCTCACCTGATTAAGCCAAGAGATGCATGGACTCAAATAATTTGAACCCATTCAGTCGCCTTTTACGATCACGCAGCGATAAACGGTGGCCTCATTCCTTAAAGGCAACATTTGAGCCACAAAAGGGGGGATATTATGAAAAATTAATATTCAAACTATACTCTATGAAATTAAGAATTAACAATAGAATAAACAACATATGCATCTATTTAAATAAGTCACATTATGACTCAGACCTATAGGATTGTGAACGGTTATTAGCGTTTCACGGCGGATGAATTTCTTATTTTTTTTCGACAGACGACAATTTATCGGTATGATCAAACAAATATATACAATGACATTAATATTGCCTGTAATCCGAGTTATTTCTCCAAAGAAATAATATTCTATCGATTTTATAACAGAAGTTATTTTCTGGTCAGTATGTTAGCAAATGAAATTCTGGACAGACGAGATTTCTTTGAGAAATGAAAAAGAGCTTTGTGAAAATCACACTCAGTTTTAATGAGGCTGTTCATGGACAATAAAATGGGCCCCTTAGCACCGGCTTTAGCGGTATTTAACCTTAAACACTTTAACAAACAATAAGTCTAAACGTAGGTGTCGAGCTAGGAGGCTTAAAAAATTTGACGCCTTATTTTATATTCAGTTACTTTTTAACATTATATTTTAACTTGTGTTTTAGACTTGTATTTGCAATAGAAAATATACAATGTATAGAATTTACTCCATTCGATAAAAATGTGACACTTTACATCTTTAACATTCACTTCCGGCTTGGCTTGTACATGTCATAAACAGGGTTATCACAGATATTGATAAACAAAAAAGGTAAGCACTGGCTCAACTGCTATTTTATTTAATAATAAAGTTTTCAAAAATTACAACGTTGCATGTGCCTTGTTAAAAGCAAAGCGCATGACAAATACTTGATTTATACGATTACAAAAGCACTCTTATCACCGTTTGACTATCGTTGACAATAATTTGTTTTATCGTATTTTTTACGGCGCACTAAATAGGTCATAAACAGATAGGCATAATAAGCAAAACTCGTCTGATCAAAACCACTGTGTTACACAATATCTTTAAATGCTTTTGTTTAAATTCTCTACTGTCTTTGGAATTCCTACATAACAAGCTGGACAAAGGTGTTTTTTTGTCCGAGAGTTCGGAAAATTGTCGAAAACAATGGATCTGTTCCCCTGCCGATAAGATAACGCAAAAAAATACGACACATTTATGAAGAAAAAATCTTAGGAGTCGTGTTAAGTACGTTTTCACTTTGTTGGTGTAAGGTTTAAAAAGCTCTGGGAAGCTGAAATAGAACAAACATTAATAGACGAGGAAAAACAACACAAACAAACAAACAATCAAAAAAACAAAAATACACAAAAATGCACAAAAAAACACATATCATTTACAGTCTTGTAGTATATTTGCTTAAGTTTTACATAAAAGACTGTATAATCGTACATTGAATTGTCTTGGTACTTTTAGTGTATACGAATTTGTTTTACTTTGAACGTGTCTGAAGCTATAGGCTTATTGAACAACTCGTGCAAAGGGTCTTTGAAACAACAGCTTGCCCCTGACAGGGATTTGAACCAACGCAGGAATCAATCCTTAGATTACCAATTGCGCATGCCTCCACGTTCTAGTCCTTCCAGTATAACAATAATAAGTTTTGGTCATTGAAAACACGACAGTTTTGTAGGAAGTATTTTTTTCAAATTCCAATTAATTTCAAGCTTTTCTAGTTGAGAATATCGTGCTATTCATAATCATTGCCGAAGATTGTCCTTTTGACTTTCTGACTTTAACGATTATTTTTCTCACAATAACTTTAACTGAATTCAAAGAAACACGGATAATTGATGGGTGATCAAGACTAAAAACAAAGTTGCGTGACAACTTTTTTTAATATACGGAAATGTTAAGATTAAGTCACGGAATGATCTTGCTGATTTTAATTTTATATAACGTTCATGAAGAAAGGTTAAAAGCTAACACTATGTATATTCCCCCTTTTATACCAAATTAAAACGAGTTAAAGAAATTACTGATTTGTTTTTAGAGTGTCTGTTCGACGATTGTTCTAGAGGATGCATATAAAAAATTAATTCCTTACTGCACGAAGCCTAAGAATATCAACCATACATCAACAATATGTATTCCATGACAAAAATATATATCATGATGATTATGAATATAAATATGTTCTTTGATAAATACGTATTTAAAAATCATGCTTAATTTACAAAATAATTTTGCTGTGGTTGAAGATGTGTGTATAATGTCTTTTTGTCGTCCACTTTAATCATGTGGTATTAAATTCCACATTTTGATTAGCTATTGGCAAGCGGTGTAAGGGGGGGGGGGTGTGCACAATTCTTGTCAATTGTATATGACACTGGTTTCCCGTAAACAGCGACAAAGATGGACCAAATCAATGATGATGCAAAAATCTATCACGGTACCTGTGACTGAGTATCATCCTTGTACTTAAGATGCTGCTCTTCTTGTTCGCCAAAATAGCTCAATCAATCAGCCATTGCTTTCTTACAACAAACCATCGGCTCATTTAACTCGAAGCCTCATTTAATTTGAAGATTTATTTCGAATTGACGTGTCTATGAGAGAATTCTAGCAGAGAAGGTCAATACATTTTCGGCTTCTTTTTGTAAGCCGTGATAGATAGGAAATCTTGATGATGAATAGTCTTAATGTAACTAAAAGTTAATCCATTCATCATAAGTTATGTAAATTTTGTAAATTTCACATATTTGCGTGCATTGTAAGATGAATGGGCGCCGCACGAGAGGTGGGACATTTGTCTATTTTGTTTGCCATTTCACTTTTTGTTTGTTTGTTTGGATTCACACAAATTTCAATACATTTGAGATATATCTTGGCGGTAAATGACTTCCTGAAAAAGTAACCAAACTTAATGTCCTTAGAAATATATCACCCTACTGATGATCAGATCAGCGACTATTGCATTATAAATCCAATGCTCTCTGGTTTGAGCTAAGCGGGTGGACTTTGTCAGTTCACTGTTGTCCAACTAAATATTGTATATGATATATAACCACGTGATATCATTCACTAAAGTACCTTATGGCTCGAATTTTAGTTAAACATTAGCCTGGCGGCTACCCGTCTGACTTGCACATATAAGTCGGGTGCATGCATAGTCTGCACCATTTACTATTCATTCTACATGTATATGAGTTTTTCATCAAAATAACCATTTCGTTTAAGGTATTTTGCACGGAAGTATTATGAAAATAAAAATGAACAGATGTCAAAATGGAAGACAAATAAAAAATAAAGAAATAAATAAAGAAAGAAAGAAAGAACCAAATAACAAAAAATTAAAATAGGATAAAATAATATGTTGAATAAATAATGTAAATAGTTGATGATTGTACTTTATGTCACATTATTTATAATTAAAGAAACCTCACACTTTCACACAAGTTGTTTTTTTTATTTAAATAACCTTTGATTCAAAAACATAAGAAACAAATCATTGATATATATAATATAAAAAAGAATAGAATATTCGCATTAAGCAATTTAACTTATTTCATCACCCATACATGAAATGACATAAGAACAAAATCGAAAAGAAAATAGTGGTATTTGTCATCTAGGTCGTTTACGTTACAAAACATACATTTTCCTAATTCTTCTTTTAACATATAAGAAATCCGACACGAAAATATATGTCTTTGTTTCCATACTCCCCATTTAAATCAGATAATAGGCACTCCTGTCTCTGGCCAGGGTGGATATAGATATGTAAACCGGTAATTTTTCCATTTCTCTAAAAGTCTTTTGAAGGTATGTTAACAATATAACAATGCTTTTCTAGTAAAGTAATAATCAAATATACCAGAAGTGTTGTATTAATTTATATCTTCATTCTACATAAAAAAAGATTTTAAGAAAATCACTTAGCGTCATGGTAGGAAAGATGGCTTGATTTATCGACATGAGCAAAATGTTTTCAGGAAAAAGGAATCGTTGAAAAATATTTTCAGTATAAATGGAAGTTTATTTATGATTATACAAATGAAGGTTGAATGATGATTACACAAATGAAGGTTGAAGGATGATTACACAAATAAAGGTTGAAGGATGATTACACAAATAAAGGTTAAATGATAATTACACAAATGAAGTTAAATGATGATTATACAAAAGAAGGTTGAAAGATGATTACACAAATGAAGTTGAATGATGATAACACAAAAGAAAGTTTGAATGCTGATTACACAAAAGTAGGTTGAATGTTGATTACACAAAAAAGGTTGAATGATGATTACGCAAATGAAGGTTGAAGGATGATTACACAAATGAATGAATGGATGCATGAATGAATGAATGAATTAATGAATGAATGAATAGATTACGCAACTTCTGAATCCATAAAAAAACTATGACGTCATCCGCAAAATTTATTATTCCGAAGGTGAATGCAAACTTATGCATATTACAGTACAATAATACTTCATTGCATTTTGAGTTTAATGTATCTTAATGATCTCATTTAAAAGCATGAACCTAAGTGCAAGATCTTATTAAAAGAGATTGAAATTACTAAATTCACTTTCACATTGCATGTTGTATTGTATTTAAACGTTGTATGGGAATGTATTACTATAATTTGTTTATTTAATATTTGAAATTGTTCAAAACACACCAAGTTCTGTTTCTTTAATCAATATTTTATACATCTCTGATCGGGAAATTATTCTAGAAATGCAAATAGTAGTCCATGGAAGCAACTAGTTATCTATTTTAAAGAATTAATCAAATCGACAAAAACCGGAAAAA